ATAATAGATAATCAAGAAAAAATTATACACTTCAAGCCAAACTGCTAAGCAAATACATGTCTCAATCAAGATTTCTCTTTTGTTGAAGCATAACACTAAAAACGACCAAATTCACAAGACCCTCACTCGATCTTGAGCTAGCCACCTTCCTAAAAACAAAATTTTGCTCCATGTTTCTGTATGTAGAAGTCTTCACTTAACTCTATTGGAATTACCTTGTTCGAACCTTTGTTCTACTAAAGGATCTTAGAAACTTCCAACTTCGTCTGCAAACACTTTATTTGGTTCTACTGAATTCTTCCTTAGAAAAGAAAATAAGCTTTTTCTTTATTGAAAGTTAGTCTCTAGAGACCTTAATCACAAATTGATTATTTAATCTAATACACATATAAAATTTCACAAAAAACATTAGATTTTTTAATGTGCCTTGCATCTACGACTCACATTCAATCTTTATAATTGAGTACTACAACAATGGAGTTTTTTATTCAAAATTAAAAATGATTGGTTATCTAAAAAATCTCACACAATTCCTTATCAGTAGGATTATCATAAACTTCTAGGATAGTCTCGAGAATTAGTAAAGCAAAGTATTATTATAAAAGAAGTCTATCACATATTTGTTGCAATATTTTTTTAAATATAAAATTTAAAGAAAAGAAATTTTGATATATCTTTTTAATTTAGTGTCTTTAAAATCATTTTAGTTTCTTTCTTTTTATAAAAATTAAATGGTATACTAATTTTTCATCATAACACTTACAACAAAGAATAATGTCATGTTAAGTCTTATGTTAGTTTTAACATTTGATTTTAAAATCACATGACAAATACTTAAATATGATAAAATAGATGTATCATTTTCTTGCATCTGGATAACCTTGTTCGTGATTCAACTTCTTACAATAATGTACCTTTATTTTAAAGAATATTTTAAAGGAGATATATTACAAATTTATTTTGAACTAAATCTATTTAAAATATATTAAAATCAGAAGTATTGATTTCATTTGTTCCACATCACCAATATTCTTATGTGGCATCTTATTCTATAAAACATATTAAATCATAAGTGTGGACTATAAAGGATTTCTATATTGCACCTTTCAAAATCCATCTTCACATATGAATAGACTATCCTTCAAGGTCACAAGTTCAAACCTTACAACGACAAAAATATTTTTACCTAAAATTTAAATAATAATTTTGATATATATTATTTAATTTGTGTTGCAATATTTTTTTAAAGATAAAATTTAAAGAAAAAAACTTTGATATATTTTTTAATTATAAAAATGAGAGAAAAGAAACCTTGATATATCTTTGTAATATAATATCTATAAAATAATTTTAATTTTGATGCAAAGACAAAAGAAATATGTTAGAGAGAGGAGAGAGAAGCTCTGACGCCTTCGTCCCGCCTCCTTTGAAACGATAACCCTATTCAATTGAATTGTTGCTTCTCCGATCATGGCCTCTTTCACCATCACTTGGAAATGTATTCAATTAAACCCTTTACATGCTTCATCCCAACTTTAGAGCCGCAACCAACAACTTCAAAAAAATTTCTCCAACACTTCACAACATCTGTGATATTTCGATAATCCAACTTCATCAACCCTATGTCAAAGGAGACAGAATAACAATCACGATCCTGGAAGAGGAATATTTGGCTAGGCTCGAGGAATGCAAAACTAATTTTCATGGGATAATAACTTCCCTATGCAAAACTAATTTTCATGCAAAACTAATTTTAATATCCTCAAGTTGTCCTCGATCTGGAAATGCATTGGCAAATGGGGCATAACTTCCCTGGGAAAAGGTTATTACGAATTCACTTTTTCTTCGTTGTAAGATTTGCAACCTGTTAGAGCTACCAGAACCTTAAATCTTGCTCCGGGTTTGGTCAAGCTTTTTGCATGGACTAAAGATTTCAACCCCATCTCTCAACATCAGCCATCCTTTTAGATTTGGATTAGAATCTTTGGGTTAGCACAAGAATAGTGGAGACCCAAAATCCTTTTTGTGATTGTAGGTAGAATTGGTACGCCTATATGCACTAATGCTACCACTAATAAATCTAGATTTGAAAGAGATTATGATTATTTCGTGACCTGGTTGATAGTGTCCTTGTTGAAATATCAGGATTTACATTCTTTGTTGATGTTACCTATGAGAATTTACCCCATATTGTAATAGTTGCAAATGTATATGGGCATGATATTAGGACTTACAAAAGAAGCAAGATAGGGAAACCTCTACTACAAGGAGGAAATAGAAAAATCAACAAGGTTGATACCAAAGGCAAATTTGTTGTGACAAATGACAAAAGGAAAATCCAAGAGGAAACTCTGAGCCAAGTAGTAAAATAATCTAAGATCGTTAAGGATATTGACAAGACACCCTCCACAAGTTTGGTTAATGTGGAAGATAAACCCTCATAATCTGATGTGGAGTAGTTAGTAGACCTTGAGTTTGTTAATGAAACTCAAATGAAAGAACCTAAAGAACCTGGAACTAACGCCCCTGAAGTTAGGCATCCTTCTCCTTCCCAGGCCACTAAATTCTTGAAAGAAGCTTGGGGCAACATGAAAGATCTTTATCCTGAGGAAAAACTCTATCACACTGACAATGAGGAAAATCCTTTCAAGTTGGTCACTCACAAAAGGAAAGGGAAACAAGCTTAGAAACTTATAAACCATAGAACTAGATCCAAGGCTGGTAAATCCAATATTGGCCCATGAAGTGCCTCTATTAGAATAATAGGGGTCTTGCTAATACCCCTACTATGTTGGCTCTGAAAAAGTTGTTAAAGGATCAAAAACTCGACTTTTTCTTAATTGTGGAGCCTTAGATGAACTTTACATATTTCTCCCAAAAATCAGTTTCATAGGCTTAGTATCATGCTTTTTGCTATTAACTACAGAGATTGACAGCTTCCTAACATTTGGTTCATTGTCTTAATCACCTTGACCCTGATATTATTAACTTTGATGATGAACAAGTCTCCTTCACTTTTTCTATGGATAACAACACCTTCGATATTTATGTCGTCTATTCTTCTACTAACTATATTAGCAGAAGAACTCTTTGTAGCTCCCTCCCTGTTTCTAACCCTTCCATTCCTTGGGCGTTTATTTGTGATTTCAATGTCACCCTTGGCTCTTATGAGCACAATGGTTCTCATCCCCAAGCCTTCCAAGGAATATTTTATTAACTGGACAAATGTTTATAACTTGTCCCATATTACCACTAAAGGTGCCCTCTTTAATTGAAGCAATGAGAGGAAAGGGAAGGATCTCACCGAGAAAAGATTGGACTGTTGCATTTGCAACCAATATTGGCTTTCATCTTGCTTCTCTGTTTCATACGCCACCCTTACTAGAAATATATTTGACCACTTTCCTCTTATGTTAAACTTTACCACTTCTGAGGTCAAGCACAAAACTATTTTAAGTTTATGCAAATTGGATTCTCCATCCCAACTACAAAGACATTGTCAATAAAAGTTGGAACTCTAATATCTCTGGCTTACTATTAGACGCAAAATTTCACTTATTTAATCTATCAAATGTTGGCATCTTTCACTCATTTTCGCCAATTAAGTGTTGAAAACAATTCTTGTTTTGGTTGGTTTGCAACATTATGAGAAAATCTCTTGGTACCTTTGATTTGTGTGTCATTGTGCAAGAATTAGGTACAAAACAAGTGAAGAGTAAGACACAAGAAATGGGCAAGGAAACCAAGACAACATGCAAACCACCAAAATGTTGTCACACTCGCTAGGCGAGCAGGTAGCGAACGTGCCAGCAAAGAAAACCATTCTTGCTCACTAGACGAGCAGGCTAGCGAACAAAATCTTATCATGCTCGCTAGGTGAGCTGGTAGCGAACAAGACAGATCCTGAATGTGTATTTAAGTGTTTTTCTTGCTTTTTTAGGGAATAATTTCATTTTGTAACATTTAGAAACATTAGAACTTATTTCTCTTCATTTTTTAGAGAGAGAAACACAAAAACCCTAAGAGGGAGGAGGTAAGATCTTCGATCTCTTGTTGGGGTTTGGATCGTAATCTTTTGATACCTTATGTATTTCATCTAATTTATGTTTGTGAACTAGTTTGGATTCTCTATTGATTGATTATCTTTGATTATGTATTTGTGGGTCTTGACAAAACCTTTTCACATCTTTGATCTCAGATTTTCTTCTACCAATGAACAAACTTTTGACATGGTTTTGAAGTTGATATTCATTGTATCTTTTATGGTGTTGTGTTGGTTAAGTAGCATGGGTAACATGAGTTGGATTAATATGATATTGTGTGGGCATGTGGTAATAGTGATGAAGAATGATGTTCACAACCATTTGGTGGAATTAGATAAATACATGTAAAAAGGGTTAGGTGTGTGTATGTATTCTGATCATTGTGTTTTATATGAAACAATCGTTTATCCGATATGGGTGTCGTCTTTGCTTACTTGTTTATCTTTGATTTGAACCGTGATATAGATATACTTTTCAGATCTGGATCTAAGATGATTACCTGTTAGGTCCTAAATGCTAGAGATAGTTTTAGGCTTAGCATTTGCGTGAGTATCAGTTCTTAATGCTCTGTGTTGTGTTTTTGTTGGATGAGAGATCACCAATGAGACAACATGGTTGTTCTCTCGATGCTGCATTAGAGATAAGTTTTGTCGAGAGTGATACGCAAGGGTATTAGGTGGATGATTGCGTTGTGTTTAATTTGATCAGAAGAGTGCATATGTTATCAATTGATGAAATCCAATCCCAACAAGGCTCCGTTTATATTTTAGTCTTTATTTTATAATTTCTATTTTTATTTATGGTTCCCTGAACCTTTTAAACCAAAACTTTTGAACAATAAGCTTAGAAATGTAGAGGCCGTTGAACGGTGTTCATATCGCACTAATCCCTGTTGAGACAACAAAACTGGGTACTTAATATTTTTTGCTTGCTGCTTTACCGCACTAACACTTACCTATGTCCATTATTAATCAAAAGCTCAAGCTTCACAAAGCTGGCCTCAAATATTTGAATAATCTCACCTTTGGAAACTTGCACAATAGTGTTTCCAAGGATTCTTCAATTCTTGATGATATTCAAATCAACATTAATAATTCTGGTCCTACTGATGAGCTTTTGGAGCAGGAAAAAGTTGCCAAAACTGAGCTTGATCTTGTCCTTTCCTTTGAAGAGGCTTTTTGGAAAGAGAAGGCCAACTCCAATTGGCACTCTAATGGTAATCAAAATAATGATTATTTTCATAAGCTCACAAAGATCAAGCATGCCTACAAGAGCATTTATGTCTTAAAAGATACTGATTATATTATTATTGATCCTAGTTTGATTACCAAGCATGTTGTTGATCACATACGTAATTTGTTTTCTTCTTATAATTATGTGCAGGATAATAACTTAATTGAAGAAACCATTCCTTCTCTGATTTCTGACCAGATGAATCTCATTAAATCTCAAATTCCTTCCCATGAAGAAATCTCCTATATTGTTTTTCCATGAAGAAGAATAATGCTCCTGGCCCTGACGATTTTAGAGCCTTCTTCTTTCAAAATTTTTGGGATATTGTGAAATTATATGTTATCGATGCCACCATTTAATTATTCACTAAGAACTGGATTAGCCATAAAATGAATGCAAACACAATTATGCTTATCCCCAAAGTCGATCATGCTAATTCAATATCCTAATTCAAACTTATTGCTCTTGGTAACTTCAAGTTCAAGGTGATTTCTAAAATTCTGACTGGCCGCCTTGCTATCATCCTTCCTAACATCATATCTCAGAAACAAAAAGGCTTCATAAAAGGTAGAGAATTAAATAATGTATCTGTCTTACCTGTGAGGTTGCCAACCTGCTTCATAAGAAATTATTTTGTAGCAACCTTACCAACAAAGTGGACATCTCCAAGGCCTTTGAGACTTTAGACTGGTTCTTCATTCTCAAAGTCTTGAAAGCTTTTGGTTTCTATGATTTGTTCTACAACTGGATCAGCCTTATTCTTCATTCTTCTAAGTTGTCTATTAATATCAATGGTAGCCTTGAAGATTTCTTCCTCTGTACAAAGGGAGTCAGGCAAGGGAGATCCTTTATCTCCCCCTGGTTTTCTTCATTGCTAAAGAGGTTTTAAGAAGAGGTATTTCCAACCTTGTCAGAGAAGGTAAGCTCAATCTCATCAACGGTCATAAGAATTTTCTCATGCCTTACCACTGTCTGTATGAAGACGACATCATACTCTTCTGAAAAGGTTCCCTCTCCAATGTATAGGCCCTCTCCAATCTGTTCAGTAGGTATGCCCTTCTTTCAGGTCAACATGTCAACCCTAAAAAATCTTTTATCTTCTCTTGTTATACTCTTGCTACCATTATCCAAGATTTCCTCTCATCTCGTGTTCAAATTTGGTAGGCTTCACTTTATTTACCTTGGTGTCCCTATATTCAAAGGTAAACCCAAAGATATCCACTTAAGACCTTTGATGGAAAAAATAAAAGTCAAAATGGTTGCAAGGAAATCCTCTTTGCTTTCCATGGCTGGTAGAGTTCAGCTTTTGAAAAATGTCCTTATAGTATGCTCACTTACATTATTACCATTTATGCCTAGCCAGTTTCCCTCATCAAGGAGCTCAAAAAGTCCGTTAGAAACTTCATTTGGAGCGATTCTCAATATTCTATAAAATTAATCATAGTTACTTAGGAAAAGGTTTGCAAACATATTGATCTGACCTGATCAGAAGGGGATCACGGGCTGACGACACGCTGTTGGAATGCTACCTGTTCACCGGTGATGAGGAGGAGAAGGGGGTGTACCTGCAGAACACTCTGATGCCAAAGTAAGGAGTTGGGCAGAGTGAGAGCAAAGTATAGAAATGGGTAAGAAGTGAATTACCTGACCCTCTTGTGGAAGAGGGTATTTATAGAGAGACCCCAGCGCTGGGCCAACGGTCACTTGTGTTGGGCCGGATTGCCAGGCCCAACCCAGGTGACTGCTAGGGCTTACATGGCGTAATGAAGACCAGAACGTGGTCTTCGCCCTAGTCCAACTGTCCCGTGATCTCCGGAAAGTGGGTTTGACCTGCTCTTTCGGAGGTGGGCAGTTGGTTAGGTGACGTGTCCCTGCAGAGGGGAGCACGTGGAGAACGTGCGTATGGCACGTTGTCCTCCCTGCGGAGGGGATCCCGGGAGATTCCCCAGGGGTCTGGCTTGATGGCATGGGAATACCGCCCGCGGAGGGCGGTGCTTGGTCGCACGGGCGATTCACTTGCCCGGCGTGGTTGGGACGGTTCTCCCCGCGGGGAGACCATTCTAGCAAGTCGGGGATCTTGTGCCCGACTCGGTAGCTCGGACCGGGCAGGGCCTGGTAGAACATTATTGGGCCGGGCCAGCATAGTTCAGCCCGAGGCCCATTCCAGAACACATATCAAAGAGGGTGGCCTTGGAATTAGATCCCTCTCCATTCTCAATGAATCTTCTAATCTCAAATTATGTTGGGACTTTTTTACCTCCCAAGATTAATGGTCTTCTCTTCTTAGGTAGAGAGTTTTCAAGGATGGTAAACCTAGATCCACTCATCTTACTTCTTCTATTTGGGGAGGTTTGAATCTAAGCTTCAAATTGTTACTAACAACTCTTGCTGGAATTTAGAGAAAGGCGATACAATTAATTTATGGTTTGATAATTGAGATGTTGACTCTATCAGTAACTTACTCACCATTGACCCTAGAAGAAATTCTAAGCTCAATCATCTTGTGCAAGAGTTTATTATGGAAAAACAATTTCACATCTCTTGGCACATTCAAGAAGATTTCCCTGCTCTTATTCAATTACTTCGTGATTTCCCTATTCCTCAAGATAATTATGGAGATCATCTTTGTTGGGCTCATACTTCCTCTGGAATTCTTTCCTTCTTTGACACTTTTAATTATTATTCTACTCCTGCTAGCTTTGTAGGCTGGGAAAAGAAGATTTAGTCGATCGACACCCCTCATTCTAAGTCTATCTTGGTCTGGAGACTTATTCATAAAAAAATCCCAACATACAAAAACCTGGTGACTCACGCTTGCAATATCCCTTATATTTGCAACCTTTACAACAAAAGTTAGGATTCTTATGATCATATCTCCCTCAAGTATTGTTTTGCTATTCAGATCTACAACTGGCTTGCTAGCATCATCCTTGGTAACATCAAGCTCACTTCTACCATCAATGTCCTTAACACTAACAATATATGTTAGTCCCTTCAATGTAAGTTGATCATGAAAGGCTCCATTATCGTCTACTTTAATATTATATGGATTTTTCGAAACAAGATTAGATTCAACAATGTCAAGCCTACTTGGAGTTTCATCACTGCCTGGGTGGTCTCAAATGTCAACTTTTCTGGTAATCTCACTTCCCTTTCTGCTGGGCACTCTATATTTGACTTCAAAATAATCAAAGCATTTAAGTGAGTATCCATCTTCCTAAAGGCCCCAAAATTTTCGAGATGGTTTGGAATCCCCCATCTTTGGGGTGGATAAAAGCTTACACGGATGGAGTCTCCTTGGGTAATCCTAAGTCGGCTTCTTGTGGCCTTCTTTTTAGAAATAACGTTGGTGAGCACTTGGGGAGCTTTGCTTTAAATCTTCGCACTTCTAATTCCTTTTTGAATATCCTACACCCCGACTCTTAATATAAAAGAGAAAATAGTACTTGTTTAGGAATGTTACTTCACGCAAGTCATTCATTTCATAAAAATAGTTTTAAACTCCTAGCGGAAAATCAAATAATCCTCAGAAGCATCAATGATATAATAAACCACCAAATAATGAAAACAAAACTTCAATAAAAACTCCAAAAATAAATAGTGCGCTCGTTCCCAGTGTAACACACCAGAGCAGACGAAAACCAACTAAAAACGATAAAATAAAGAAGGAAGAAAGCTCCAAGAATGTCTTCCACTCACAAGTGAATACTCCTACTGAGTATTTGTACATCAATTTGCACACAACCAACAAAACAAACAAAAAGGTGGCGAAAATACATCTTGCAAATGTTAACGGTGAAATTCAACAACATAATAGTAATACGGAGTTTATAAACACATCAATCACACTCAACAACACAATCAAAGTTAAATAATAATGTGAATGATAAAGCCAATTCCACCAACACCTCATCAAAATGCATGTGGTACCAAGTCTCTAGGACTAGAGATATATTTCTGGTTTACCCATGAATCTGGTTCCTCTTGAACTGTGTCCCTTTCTGGACGTGAGACCACCATAATCCCTCTTTAAACCAGGCCATCAATGAACTAAAGTCCTACCTAACTCCAAAATAAATGCATGCATGATCATGTAGAATGTAAGCGTTCAACATCACCAACATTAACAACATTGTAACATCATAAAATTACAAACAATGAAAACATCATAAAAAGGTTCCACTTTTGAACCTATAGGTCGTCACTGTAATCCCTCTGGATTACTATTCACCATAAATCGTCAATTAAGGTCGTCACTTTAATCCTCTGAATTACTATTCACCAAATCGCAAATTATGGGCGTCACTGTAATCACTCTAGATTACTATACTAAAAAATGTTGTTTAAAATAATTTTAATCATTTTTCATCAAAAAGGAAAAAGTTGTGTTACTACCCCAACCCTCAACTTATCAAAAAATTTCAGGTATACTAAAAATACCTCAAACTCCACTATTCTAAAAAATAACTCTAAAGTATCCCAAAAGCACACTAAGATACCCAATTGCCTAAGGGTAAAAGTTTACGGGTGATAACTCTACTAAGGATAAAGTCAAACAGTTTTACTCAAATTAACTCAGATTATCAAACAGATTCACTCCATCCGTGGAAATTCTAAACATAAGGTTTCTTGGCTCATGGCCAAAATCTAAAACAACAAATAAATTTTTTTCCACTGGAAATAATCAACTACATGGAAAATTTTCTATCATATTTTCCTTCATCTACATATGCCATATAATATTCTTTACATCATTTACATTAACAAACAATCTCTCGAGCCTTGAAATTATTGATAGGTACCACATCACCTTGGCAGGAAGGTAATATTTTCTTACACCATCATCATCATCATCATCATCATCAACACCATTCTCTTTCATCTTGTAGCGCAAATCCCCATATCTTGGACATTCATTCAGTTGTCATACTATGTTCTGTATAATATCCAATCATTACGGTATGCATGTATTATGACATGGTCCAAATCTATTAGACACAATATCTTCTTGGCCTCATAATTAGAGTTTGACAATGTGTTACCTTCTGGAAGCACGTCTTTCAAAAATTTAAGCAATTCAGTGAAACTTTTATCCATCCACACACATTTTACCTTCAAATTAAATAGTTTTAACACAACTGACAATTATATAAATTTTTTACACTCTAAAAATAATGACTCTTCCTTGTCACTATGTAAAGTATCACACACATGAGCTCTCCGAAAAGAATATTCTCCAATATCACGAATCATATCTTCTA